CCCAGTGCTTTTGAAAGAAGAACCATTTTTTTTTTTTTTTTTTTTTTTACCGCTGAGCCATCTCTCCAGCCCTGACTCAAAATATTTTTTAAAATATTTTATTTATTATTTTTATTTTATGTCTATGTGTATTGCCTAACATGTAGGTTGGTGCACCCATGTAATGCAATGCCCAAGGAGATCAGAAGAGGGCGTTGGATCCCTTGGAACTAGAGTTACAGACATTGTTAGCCCCCATGTGGGTGCTAGGAATTGAACCCGGATCCTCTGCAAGAGCAGCCAGTGCTCTTAACCACTTAGCTATCTCTCCAGCCCTGGCTCAAAATATTTTTATGTTGATTCAAAAATATATAACTACCCTGAAAATGAAAAGCTGAGGGTTTTAAATATTACATTTATTCATTTAGTGCATGTGTGTACACATGGGCTCGAAGGTCAGAGTTGGTTCTCTACTGCCACCATGTAGGTACTTGGATTGAACTCTTGCTGTACTCCCCGCATCCCAAGTTTTTAATCTTGAAATTTATAAGCTACATGAACCATACAAAGAATACTGTATCCTAGCTCCACTCATCTATTATTTGTTAATCATGCATATATGCATATACATTGACGTTTCACATGTATTTTTACCTCTATTTCAGTGTTTCTTAAGATTGTCTCATAACCACAGCTGACTTATCTTACTTAGGTAACTCAAAATTGATATAATACTTAAAAAATTCTAGACATTGGAGGAGATGGCTTGACAGTTAAAAGTACTGGCTGCTTCCTGTAGAGAATGAGGGTTTGACTTCCAGCACCCACACTTGGTGGCTCATAACTGCTCGGCTCCAGGAGGATCTGATGCCTCTGACTTCTGCAGGTATCTGCACTCATATGAAATGTCTATGCGCGCGCGCGCGCGCGCGCACATGCGCACACACACACACACACACACACACACGCACACCAAATCCTTTAATAATAATAAAAAAGAGCACTTTAAATGAAAGCTGAGCTGGTGACAGAGGCACAAACCTGTAACCCTAGCAAGAGGACGTAGCAAGGAGTTCTAACCTGAGCTATGTAGCAGGACCTTGGTGCCCTTTCCACCATGTCCAATCTAATTTTGTCGATTTGTCTGCATTTTCTTTTGATGAGTTTTCAGTTAAGTATGATCAGCGTCAAAAGTTCTAGGCCACAGTTTTGGACTAGGCAGATGCACACAAAGCCAGACTAACAATCAAATGCAGTCACCATGCCAAAGCTCCATATCACCAAATCAACCAACACGATGAAACTAAGCAGCTTATCTGACCTTCCAAGAGACCAGGAAAAATGAGAGCAGTCACATTGTCCAGACAAACTAGTTCGAACTGGTCCGGTAAATGACTGTCTCTTCTATCCTTTACAAAAGTAGCTTCTAAGGCAACCGACAGTAACAGCTGATTTTTGATTCTGCTTTCTCCCTGTCCCCACCTGACAAGCAGTTTGCTTTTTCATGTTGCCTCTGCTTTCTTCAGGCTGTCTATAAAATTCAACCTCTCCTTCTCAGCCTGTCAAAACACTTAACTTGACCTCATGAAGTTAAGGGCTGCACAATTCTAGAATTATAAACACAACCACCAAATCCCAATTAAGACCATTACCCTAAATCTTTGGGCTTGTCTTGGACACCAGCCATGCTTCTATCTAAGTGATGTTGGGTTGCCTGACTTGGGAACCAAAAATAAGGTCAACTGAGACCTTTACACTGGGCCGTGGGTACAGTCCAGTGGCAGAGTGCCTTGCCTGTCTGGTTCACACAAGACTTTGGGGTTTAGCTCCAACACTCCAAAACAGAAAAAAAAGTCTTAGTGGGGTGTAGAAACATGCATTAACCCCAGCATTTTGGAGTTGGAGGCAGGTGGATCAGGAGTTCAAGGCTGTCCTCAGGTACACAGTGAATTGGAGATCAGCCTGAGCTACAGAAGCCCCTGTCTCAAACAAAACCAAAACCAAAACAGAAAAAAAACTAAATTTATAATTCTGTCCTTCAGCATAACATATTACTACATATGTGATTAAATGATTATTATTACATAAATGATACTCTGGCCTAACAGTACAACTGGAGAGACACAGTACATTTTCCTCCAACCAGTGATGTGATACATACATGTGTATGTAGTACTATTTCGCCCTTACAATGAATAAGCAATCTGCAGGAGATGCTTATAAATGGTGAAGACCAAAGAGTGTATTATCTACAGAATACAGATTTATGTGGAGTTAAATCTCTAGACCATATAGCATGTACGTACACACACACACACACACACACACAATATAACAGATATGAGTATGTATGAGTGCACCCGCCAAGGTCAGAAGAGGGCTTCAGGGTCCCCTGGAAGAGGGCTTCAGATTTCCCTGGAACTGGAGTTAAGGACAGTTCGTAGCCGCCATGTGGGTGCTGGGAATCGAACCCAGGTCCTCTGCAAGAGCAGTCAGTGCTCTTGGCCACTGAGCCATCTCTCCAGCTCCCTCAAACAGTACATTCTTTCAAACTTTTTAATTATTTACCTGTGAGTGTGTGAAGGCCATAGCATGTGTGGAGGTCAGAGGACAACTTGTGGGAGTCAATTCTCTCCTATCACATGGGCTGGGATTGAACTCAGGCTGCTTTATCCTTAACACTGAGCCAGCCACCTTGCTGGCCAAACATTCCTAAGTGAGTACAAGACAGTCACAAAAGTTCTCTGTTCTAGTGTTCCAGCTACTTAGGAAATCTCAATGGAAATCAGATGTATATATGCTCACTGACCAAAACAGGACAAAATAAAATTTCAGTAAAAAAAAAAAAAAAAAAAAAAAAAGAAAGAAAAAAGAAAACAAAACCAGGACTGGAAAGATAACTCGGCAGTTGTGAACACGTGCTGCTCTTGTTGAGGACCCAGGTTCAGTTCCCAGCACCCAGAAGCCAGCTCACAATTGTCTAATTTTAGTTCCAGGGGATCCAATGCCATCTGAGGGCACCAGGTATACATATAGTACACTTATATATACATAGACAAACATCCATACAGATATTTAAATTTTAAAAAAGAGAAAAATTCTGGGCTGGGCTTGGTGGCACACACCTTTAATCCCAGTACTTGGGAGGCAGAGGCAGGCAGATCTCTGTGAGTTCAAGGCTGGCCTGGTCTACATAGTGAGTTCTAGGACAGCTGGGGCTACAGGGAGACCGTCTCAAAAAGACTCCCCCCCCAAAAAGAAATATTCTAAAACCATAATCCTTTTATGTTCATCTTCCCCCAAATAAAACCATACTATTAAGTCATTTTTAGGAATATGAGAGGATAATTACAAAATACCCTCTAGCAGATCATAAATGAATCCGCACAAGTTAGTAACTGTGGGATACTGAAGGGAGATTTAGAGGAAAAGTTACAGCTTTAACATGTTTATCAAACACCAAGAAGATTAGTTTATTAAGTTGAAAAATAAAAGCAATAAACCTAAGAGCAGACATCAAGGAAACGGAGAGCGAAAACACCATATAATACAAATATTATTAAAATAGACACAAACTCAGAATCAATCCTAGTGCTTGGAGGTTAAGGCCGGAGGATCAGGAGTTCAAGTCACCCCCAGCTGCACAAAGATTTCAAAGTCAGCCTGGTTACATAAAACCCTGCCTCAAAAGTGTCTAGAAGTAAGGCTCAGCAGGTGGAGTGCCTGCTAGCATGTATGCAGCCCTGGGTTTGATTCCCAGGGCTGCATAAAGCCAGGAGTGGTGGTGCAGGCCTTTAATCCCACCACTCAGCAGGTGGAGGCTAGTTCAAGGCTGTTCAAGGCCTGCTCGTACTACATGAGACCCTGTCTCAAAAAACCCAAACAAGGGGGCTGGAGAGATGGCTCAGCGGTTAAGAGCACTGATTGCTCTTGCAGAGGACCTGGGTTCGATTCCAAGCACCCACATGGCGGCTACAAACCGTCCTTAACTCCAGTTCCAGGGGAATCCGAAGCCCTCTTCTGACCTCCGCAGCATTGTACGACATGGGTGCACTCACATACATGCAGGCAATACACTCATACACATTAAAAACAAACAAACAAACAAACAAATAATACAAGTGTATAGTAATGGCAAAAGAAGTAAAACAAAGATCCTATAGACAGATCAAGGTAGACAAGTGAACTTTTAAAAAGGAGCAAAGGCAATACAGTAGAGAAAGAGCAGTTGATAGAGTGTGCAGATGTGTTTAGACACAAACCTTACACCCTTAAAAAAACACTAACTTAAAATGGATCTCAGAACCACGTGTATTAATAATGCAAGATTATAAAACTCCTAGATCACATAAGAGAAAGCCTAGATGGCCAAACCAGATGGCCCAAATTTTTGAAACAAAACACTAAAGGCATAATCCATAAAAGTCATCATTGATAAGCTTAGACTTGGTTATTCTTCTGTTCCACAAAGTAAACTGTGGAGAGAAAAAGGGGCAGATTGAGAGGAATATTTGCAAAAGACATATCTGATGAAAGACTTTTATCCAAAATAGCAAAGAACCCCCCTAAAACTCAATAAGAAAGTGACCAACCAAATACAAAGACCCAGACACCTCACCAAAGACGACAAAGAGCAAATAAGAAAATACGATGAATGTACATTAAAACAGCAATGATATGGACTCGGGACATAGCCAGCGTGAGTTAGCATGGGTTCAACTGCCAACACTGCTAAAGAACCAAAGATCTCCTCCCCACGAAAGACAGACACTGCCACAGCTGACAGAGGGGTCAAAATACAGAACAGGACCACATCCATCCATGCAGGTGAGGACAGGGTCCCCAAACCAATC